ACACACACACCTAAATGTCATAGGCTAAATTGGTTTTTCAGAATCTTAAAGGTTTACCTGGAGAAAAGTTCAATTGGAGCCTGTATATTTATTTATTTTATATTTATTCATTTATAGAACTACTACTGTTCCTAAGAGGCACTTCTTTACTTTTGAGTAAATACGACTGGAATCGAGAGACAAATGGAGAGAGCATTTATGCCACAGTCCGATTTCAAAGCAGTTCCAAATTGCTCAGTCGTTTTTTGAAATTTAACTACGCATATTTTAAGACTGATCTAGGATCGGACCTGGAAACAGAAGGCGATCCAAACCCCATGGCGGAGGGTTTACACTGGGACTCCGCTTACAGCCCCACAAAGTAAACTCTCACGGAAGGGGAGTAAACATGTTTCATATTCAACATGTTTTAAACTCGAAGAAGGTAATGAATATCTTTCATATTAAACATCAGCAAATATTATTTTCTGGCTCTTAACCAGGCTTAAAGGCATCTGATCTTGGAAGCTAAGCATCGTCAGCCCAGGTCAGTAATTGGATGGGAGACCGCCAGGGAATCCAAAGCCTGTATTTCAAAGGAAGGAACTAGCAAAACTACCTCTGAGTATTCCTTGCCTATGAAAACCCTATATGAAATTCATGGGGTTTCCATAAGTCAATAGGTGACTTCAAAACATATAGGTGATGTAGTGGGGTTGAGCCTTGAGCTATGACTCTGGAGAGCAGGGTTCAAATGCCCGCTTGGCCATGAAAACCCACTGGGAGACCTTGAGCAAGGCACACTCTCTCATCCTCTGAGGATAGCAATGGCAATCCACCTCTGAAGACACTTGCCAAGAAAACCCTGTGATACTTTCGCCTTAGGATCCTGTAAATCGGAAACAACTTGAAGGCAAACAGTACCCTGGTTCTCGGCGCCAAATTATTATTATTATTATTATTATTATTTATTTATTTATTTATACCCCGCCCCTCTGGCAAGCAATAGGGGCGGCTTACAATTAAAATTCTGTATCATATAAGGGCTCCAGAGGTGAGCAGAGGCGTCCAACCCGAGCCTGACCACGTTTGTTGTTGTTGTTGTTGTGTGCCTTCAAGGCATTTCTGATTTATGACCACCCTAAGGCGTTTTCTTGGCAAATTTCTTTAAAGGGGGATTGCCATTGCCATGCCCTGAGGCTGAGAGCATGTGATTTGCCCAAGTGAGTTTTATGGCTGGGCCAGGATTCGAACCCTGGTCTCCAGAGCCCAACGCTCAAACCCAGGGGTAGGCAACCTTTCC